TGGAGAAATGCAAATGCCTTCTGAGTTCTTATTTATTTATTTAGTGGAGGTAATGTGGTACCTCAGTTTGGCATGTGTAAGCAGTACTCCTGACCAATGCGGCCGCATAAAATGGAATGAATGAAGTCGGTTTTATCTCTCGCACTCCCAATTAATGTGGATTAGAATGAGTCCACCACTCTCTTATTGAAGTTAGAGAAGGTGAGGTGTATTCATTGCTCTTATTTATCAGTAAATGATGGGAAAAATTTTAAATACATGCAATTCAATCACAAACGAGTTGAGAAGATTTTGTGGGGATTTATCCCCATTGATTATTTAAGTTAGCAGAAAGGTGAAGTGCAGAGCTGATGCCCTGAGGTGTGTGTATTCATTGTTTTTATCTATCAAAAATGATATTTTCTATTGTTGAAGAAAAACCCAGCTTTAAATTGGAACTACAAATACAGTTAGGATGTGTTTGGATTTTTTATTTGTGAAGAGAAAAAAAAGGAAATAAATAAATAAATAAAATTACTACTACATTTCTCTTTTCCACTTTCTTTCTTTTCTCATGCACAAATTTCTTGACAAATCAAAAATCCAAAGAGTCTTATTGTTTTAGCTTTGGAACACAAATAAGATATTGATAAACTCGGATCATAAACCATTTATATCAATTAACAAATTATATTCTTGCAAATTTGTAAGTAATGTGATAGATATGCTTTACCTAAAACATTCAGGATTTTGAGGCCAAAATTAGAGCTTTCTTTGATCTTCAGGGCTCACAATAAGATACAACCTGTCAGTCCAATCAAGAATTTGATGCTCTGAAAGAACTGAATCATTCCCATACCCTTCCAAGTCTTCAACTGTCCTTGAGTATTTATGTTTCCCTTCAATTGGAAGTAGAAAGAATTGTTTGGCAATTTCTCGCACTTTGTCTAGGAATGAGCTTTCCATTCCATGATTTATTGCCTGAAAATTCCATAACCGACTTTCACTATATTGTAAGAGAAACTGAAAGAACTAACCATTAGACTAGTTAGTTGAGTTGTGAATGAGTATCTTAGGTAGCGTCGGTTATGTGTTCAATCCACATAAAGTGCTCGACTCCTGATGGACAACCCTAGGGCCTATGCATGGTATTTACTAATGTTGTGTTTGGTTGAGGGATTTGAGGAGGGATTTGGAAAGAAAAATGAAAAAAGTAGGTGAAATGTGAATAAAATATACATACATTTCACCTAATTTCACTCTTTTTCCCTTTCTCTTTCCAAATCCCTCAACCAAACACAGCGTAAAGGTGCACAAAAGACAAAAATAAATTATATAACTGAACTAATCTGACTTTTATGGGTTGAGTTGGTTTTTAAATTTTTTCAACATTTATCGGATCAATTTGGTTCTCGTTTAGGTCATGCTTAAGCCAAACCAACTCAAGATTTGAAGATATAATTATAGAAGATTATATTTATATTAAATTGTCTTCGTATAATTGGTAGAAAGTAAACACTAAAGTGCATATTGCTCTACTGATTTGTTGTTGCGACTTTGTAATTACAAAGAAGATACAATCACAAAAAAGGGAGGATCAAATATTAAACACGAGATCCATTATATTTTTACAATAGAACATTAAGCTCCTTATATAGACAAAAGGGAGTTTCTTAGGACAAACATTTGCATATATGTCTAGTACAAAGTTCACATGGCATTAGATGACAAGCTACCTTTACTAAGTACTGCTATTTACTCATATGCACAATATCTGTCACACTTACTCGTACAACTAAACGACAGTAAAACATTAGGAAACACCGTATAAATTCCATTACATTATTACACAAGACTATAATACGTAGTACATACAAGACAAACATCTTCACATGGTTCCACTACGCCATTTAAGTAAAATTACCATAAGTCATACTTATTTTTTCATTCCCCTATTATTTTATTTTTTTTGATAACTGAGTGTCCGGACCAGCACCTTTTCGGAGTGTCACACCTCGACTAATCTCGAGGCCCTGAGCCGATCGACCAGGCAAAGACGCAGTGGCCCGCCAGTAGCCAGCTGGGAGTGGGATTCAAACCTGAGACTCAGTGAGTAGCATACTCCTAGGTCCTAGGTCCTAGGTCCCTAGTCTCTTGTCCTCAACCAATTGGACCTAGGTCCCTGGTCCCTTACAGGTTATTTTTTCATCCCCCTATGGTATTTACTTTGTTCTTCCTTATGTCAAAATGTTAAAAACTTGTGTATTATAATAATATATTACTGATTTTTTTTTTTGGTAAGGAAACTTTTAATGATGCAAAGATTGAAATAGAAACTTGCTTTTCAAATGAATGTTTCATTTATTTTCAGTATAATAATACCACAGTTTTAACCTGAGCAACATCGAATTGATTTAGTTTGGCTCGAATAGAAAATTAACCTTGCTTGGGGACAGTATGTTATAGCTAAAAAGCAAAAAAGTCACTATAAGTTGTCACATCACTCTCTCTATTTTTTTACAAATCTTTTCGTAAAAAATTAAAAAGTCGCTAAAATAGTCTGTTTCTAAACGAGGAGTTTGATTTTGGATATAAAAATTAGAAATCAATCATGATTGATTGGGTATCAAATTTATTTCTAATCTAATTTAAAATAATCCATGCACACCCTTAATACTTACCTTGTTTCACTGTAAAAAAAAAAACAAAAAAAAAAAAAAAAAAAAAACTCAGTTTGTCTAAATAAAATTTCAAATAATAATAATAATAATAAAATTGAAATTGACTCTATGAGTAGATGAAACTTACTATGGAACATCAGTTTAAAGTGCCTGTTTGGTGCAGCTTAAAAACTGTTTATTTTAGCTTTCAGCTTAATTTAAACTATTTTGATATATTTAGTTTAGCTTAACAATGCAGCTTATTACTTTTTATAAGTCAAAAATCAGCTTATTCTTTGAGTGGGGCAGGAGATGCTTAATTTATAAGTCAGAAGTGAACTTATATTCATAATTACAAGCTATAACCTATAAGTATTTTCTCACAACTCTACCAAACAGGCTAAAGACTTGTAATGTGAAATCAAGAGAGTAGGAGACATAAAACAAAAGTATGTTGATGAAGCACAAAAAGTCCATGTGAAAATGGTAGGTTTGTGTTATATAAATCACATAAATGATGAAAGAGAAGGAAGTTGATTAAAATAAGTAAGTATATCTCTGTCTCAAACCTGAAAGCAACCGCAAGAGGCGAGAGCAGATCGAAGTTTTAGGAGTTCATCATCATCAGATGAAGAATTGAGAAGACGAAGAATATCAATGACTGAAACCTCCAACAGTGGAAAGGAGGCATCAATAGCTCCATCTTCACCCTTGTAGATGTACCTCTCTGGCACTTGGTTGCTGCTGTTCGCAACCACTTCTTGGACCGGTTTGGACACTAGTGACTCTACCATGGCTAGAGGGGGTACTTTTTTCATCATCATCTTCTTCTTCTGGCTTGCTGGACCCAGCTGTCCAACTATACCACATATTTAAGTTTTATATTTTGATAATTTTTTTAAAAATTAAAATATTATTTTATGAAATTAAATAAAATAAAAGGTAAATTACAAATACTCTCTTGAGATTTGATTAAAATATGAATTCTTTTTATGTTTTTGAAAATTATATTCCACCCCACGAGGTTTCTAATTTCATACAAATCGCATTTTTTATTAATAAATCATCAAATCAATTAATATTTTTTAATAATGTTAAAAATATGTTTCAATTAATAATTTAGGTAATTTTATTATGGTATAGGAAAATAATTACGAATTTTATTTTTTTAGTTAATTCTGTTAAATAAAAATTCTAATAAGGGGGTATTTGTAATTTTTCAAATCACATAAGGCAATCTGTATTTTAAGCAAATCTCAAGCGTATATTTTTAATTTAACCTAAAATAAATTATCAGATATATGTATCATTTTTTGATTTGTTAGAGTATTTTCAACGGTGCATCAAAATTTTTTTTTTTAATCAAATTTGAGTAAAACTTTCTTTTGATATCAAGTGCTCAAACGGAGGGTTTTGGAACTTCATCAAAACGCCGGTCAATCGGACGGATGTCTGGCCAGTCGATCGTACAGTGTAATTTATTTTATTTTATTTTATTTTATTTTTGTCTTGAGATGGTCGACCAGCCAGCGTAATTTTTTCACAAATTTTTGTCTTAAGCTGGCCATCCGGGAGGATATCCTGGCAACGGCAATGAACAGTAATTTGATGAAAGACATATTTGTCCTTAGTTTAATGAAAGAAAAGTGAAATTCTTAATTTGATACTTATTTGATGCAAGAAGTAGGAAAATAACTCATTTTTCATCAAATTCAAATTTGATGAAAGGTTTGAGCAACCATTAGAGATGGTCTTATACACCCAATTATGTAGACTTCAATTCTATTACCTTATCATTTTGGGTGAATTTATGAGTCTTTAACATTTTTTCTGAATTTATAAAAAAAATTATGATGTATACCTTTTCTTAACAGATAAATATAAATATTTTTTCTCAACAGATAAATATAAAAAAATATTAAGATAACTCTCATTTAAAAAAAAAAAACTATTAAGATAATATACTGAACTAATAAATAAGCATAAAAATACATACGTATATATATATATACAAATGATTAATTTTATTAATACATTAATCATACTCGCATAACTAATGATTAATTTCATTAATATGTAAATCATTAAGTAAATTAATAATTTTTAATGATATGAAAAATATTTTTCAATTAATCATTTTGTTAATAAATAAATCATTAAGTCAATTAACATTTTTTAATGATATGAGGATTATTTTTCAATAAATAATTTTGATAATTTATTATTACATAGAAGAATAAGTTTTTTTTTTTTCATGAGTATTGTGTTAAATTAAAATTTATAACTATATTTCAACTTTCAAGTACCTGTTTCTCTGTCCCTTTCCAAATCTCTTTCCAAATTCATGAACCAAACATAGCCTTACGGAATCACACAGCTTTTATGAAAAAAAAAAAAAATTAGTTAACCACTTCAATCTGGAATTGGTTTCTCATAAAAATTTCACACCTTTATCATATCCGCACACAAACCACAAAAAGATCGAATGTTGAAAACATCATAACTTCGCTGCATCAATCGGTCTCTTGCCTTGCTGATAGTTTTGAAAATAGATATTCCCATAATCTTTCATTGACCTGTATAACCTTGGCCTTTTCTGATCGATGAGCCCTTCAACCGGTTCAATCTCATTATTCGATTCTGGCATACAAAACACAGCCAGAGTGATCCTCTCCCTTTCTGAGTTCGTCACCACCCTGTGCACCGGGCTCTTGAACATTCCATTACTCATTATCTGTAAGTATAAGACAGCAACTGCTTTGATTATCTTTAGGTATTACAGTAAGTATGACATAATTTCGTTTTTCTGTTTCCATTTTTCGATAAATACAGGTACTTTCAGCATTGCAGAATAGCTGAATGTGAAGAGTAGTTGATCTACTGTCAAGTCTACTTACCTCTGCTTGATCGCCAACATTAATGAGAAGAGCATGAGGAATGATGGGTACTCTGAACCACTGCCCATCTTTCAAGATTTGAAGGCCTTCAACTTCTTTGTCTTGCAACAGAAAGGTAATTGCCGTTCCATCTGCATGTGGTTTGAGGCCAAGTGTACGATCAGGCCTTGGACATGGAGGGTAGAAGTTAAATCTTGCGAACATCGTTGCTCGTTCTCCATACTGGTTCAAAAAGCAGTTCTCTTCTAAGTTCAATGACTTCGCCATGGATTTAAGGATGAGTTCATTCAATATTGCTAACTTTGTGGTATAGTCATGTAAAATCTCCCTGCAATTTTATTGAAGATAAAGTCAAGAAGATCTAAAATTTGGCAAGGTGGAAGCTTTGAGGCAACGTGTTTGGGCAGGAGGAAAATGAAAAAATAAGTCATATTTGGGAGTGATAATGCTCTTGAGCTTTTGAAGGACTTAAAATGGAGAAATGCAAATGCCTCCTGAGTTCTTATTTATTTATTTAGTGGAGGTAATGTGGTACCTCAGTCTGGCATGTGCAAGCAGTACTCCTGACCAATGAGGCCACATAAAATGGAATGAATGAAGTCGGTCTTATCTATCGCACTCCCAATTAATGTGGATTAGAATGAGTCCACCACCACTCATATTGGCCCCAAAAGAACCGTGCCAGAGTGCCATTGCTTATTGAAGTTAGAGAAGGTGAGGTGTATTCATTTCTCTTATTTATCAGTAAATGATAGGAAAAATTTTAAATACATGTAATTCAATCACAAACGAGTTGAGAAGATTTTGTGGGAATTTATCCCCATTGATTAATTAAGTTAGCAGAAACGTGAAGTGCAGAGCTGATGCCCTGAGGTGTGTGTATTCATTGTTTTTATCTATCAAAAATGATATTTTCTATTGTTGAAAAAAAACCCAGCTTTAAATTGGAACTACAAATACAGTTAGGATATGTTTGGATTTTTGATTTGTGAAGAGAACAAAAGGAAATAAATAAATAAAATTACGACTACATTTCTCTTTTCCCCTTTCTTTCTTTTCTCATGTACAAATTTCTTTACAAATCAAAAATCCAAACAGTCTTATTGTTTTAGCTTTGGAACACAAATAAGATATTGATAAACTTGGATCATAAACCATTTATACCAATTAACAAATTATATGCTTGCAAATTTTTAAGTAATGTGATAGATATGCTTTACCTAAAACATTCAGGATTTTGAGGCCAAAATTTGAGCTTTCTTTGATCTTCAGGGCTCACAATAAGATACAACCTGTCAGTCCAATCAAGAATTTGATGCTCTGAAAAAACTGAATCATTCCCATACCCTTCCAAGTCTTCCACTGTCCTTGAGTATTTATGTTTCTCTTCAATTGGAAGTACAAAGAATTGTTTGGCAATTTCTTGCAATTTGTCTAGGAATGAGCTTTCCATTCCATGATTTATTGCCTGAAAATTCCAAAACCGACTTTCACTATGTTGTAAGAGAAACTGAAAGACCAAACCACTAGACTAGTTAGTTGAGTTGTGAATGAGTATCTTAGGTAGCGTCGGTCATGTGTTCGAACCACATAAAGTGCTTGACTCCATATCGACAACCCTAGGGCCTATGCATGGTATTTACTAAAGGTGCACAAAAGACAAAAATAAATTATATAACTGAACTAATCTGACTTTTATGGGTTGAGTTGGTTTTTAAATTGGTTCAACATTTATCAGATCAATTTGGTTCTCGTTTAGGTCATGCTTAAGCCAAACTAACTCAAGATTCGAACATATAATTATAGAAGATTATATTTATATTAAATTGTCTTCGTATAATTGGTAGAAAGTAAACACTAAAGTGCATATTGCTCTACTGATTTGTTGCGACTTTGTAATTACAAAGAAGATGCAATCACAAAAAAAGGGAGGATGAAATATTAAACACAAGATCCATTATATTTTTACAATTGGACATTAAGCTCCTTATATAGACAAGGGAGTTTCTTAGGACAAACATCTGCATATATATCTAGTACAAAGTTCACATGGCATTAGATGACAAGCTACCTTTACTGAGTACTGCTATTTACTCGTATGCACAATATGCACTGTCACACTTACTCGTACAACTAAAAGACAGATAAACATTAGGAAGCACGGTATAAATTCCATTACATTATTACACAAGACTATAATACATAGTACATACAAGACAAACATCTTCACATGGTTCCACTACGCCATTTAAGGAAAATTACCATAAGTCATACTTATTTTTTCATTCCCCTATTTCCTTTTTTTTTTTTTTGATAATTGAGTGCCCGGATCGGCACTTTTTCAGAGTGTCGCACCTCAACTGATCTTAAGGTCTTGAGCCGATCGACCAGGCAAAGAGCTCGCCAGTAGCCAGCTGGGGCTGGGATTCGAACCTACGACCTAGAGAGGAGCATACTCCTAGTCCCTGGTCCCTTGCCCGCAACCAACTGGGCTACCCTACAGGTTATTTTTTCATTTTCCCATGGTGTTTACTTTGTTCTTCCTTATGTCAAAATGTTCAAAACTTGTGTATTATAATAATATATTACTGATTTTTTTTTTTGTAAGGAAACTTTTAATGATGCAAGATTGAAATAGAAACTTGCTTTTCAAATGAATGTTTCATTTATTTTCAGTATAATAATACCACGGTTTCAACCTCAGCAACATCGAATTGATTTAGTTTGGTTCGAATAGAAAATTAGTTTGATTTTGGGTTTAAGAATTAGAAATCAATCATGATTGATTGGGTATCAAATTTATTTCTAATCTAATTTAAAATAATCCATGCACACCCTTAATACTTACCTTGTATATATGGCACTCCTAAAAAAAAAAAAAAAAAACCCACTCGGTTTGCCTAAATAAAATTTCAAATAATAATAACAATAAAATTGAAATTGACTCTCTGAGTTGATGAAACTTACTACGGAACATCAGTTTAAAGACTTGTAATGTGAAATCAAGAGAGTAGGAGACATAAAACAAAAGTATGTTGATGAAGCACAAAAAGTCCATGTGAAAATGGTAGGTTTGTGTTATATAAATCACATAAATGATGAAAGAGAAGGAAGTTGATTAAAATAAGTAAGTATATCTCTGTGTCTCAAACCTGAAAGCAACCACAAGAGGCGAGAGCAGATCGAAGTTTTAGGAGTTCATCATCATCAGATGAAGAATTGAGAAGACGAAGGATATCAATGACTGGAACCTCCAACAGTGGAAAGGAGGCATCGATAGCTCCATCTTCACCCTTGTAGATGTACCTCTCTGGCACTTGGTTGCTGCTGTTCGCAACCACTTCTTGGACCGGTTTGGACACTAGTGACTCTACCATAGCTGGAGGGGTACTTTTTTCATCCATCATCTTCTTCTTCTTGCTTGCTGGACCCAGCTGCTCAACTATACCACATATTACAATATATATATACTAGTTAAAGCATATTTAAGTTTTATATTTTGATAATTTTTTTAAAAATTAAAATATTATTTTATGAAATTAAATAAAATAAAAGGTAAATTATAAATATACCTTTCAGGTTTGATTAAAATATAAATCGACTCCTGTGGTTTTGAAAATTACATTCCATCTTTTGAGGTTTCTAATTTCATAACAAATTATTTTTTTTATTAATAAATCATCAAATCAATTAACATTTTTTAATGATATTAAAAATATATTTCAATTAATAATTTAGGTAATTTTATTATTAAATAGGAAAATAATTATGAATTTTACTTTTTTAGTTAATTCTATTAAATAAAAAATTCTAATAAGGGGATATTTGTAATTTTTCAAGCCACAAGAAGCAATCTGTATTTTAAGCAAATCTCGAGCTTGTATTTGTAATTTAACCTCAAATAAATTATTAGATATAGGTATCATTTTTTGATTTGTTAGAGTATTTTCAACGGTGCTTCAATTTTTTTTTAATCAAATTTGAATAAAACCTTTCTTTGATATTAAGTGCTCCAACGGAGGGTTTTGGAACTTCATCAGAACACCGGTCAACTGGGCAGATGTCCGGTCGATCAACTGTACAGCGTAATTATTTTTTTGTCTCTTGAGGTGGTCTACTAGCCAGTGCAATTTTTTCACAAATTTTTGCCTTGAGGTGGTCATCCGGGAGGATATCCCGGCAACGACAATAAATAGTAATTTGATGAAAGACATATTTGTTCTTAGTTTGATGAAAAAAAAGTGAAATTCTCAATTTGATACCTATTTGATGCAAGAAGCAGGAAAATAACTCATTTTTCATCAAATTCAAATTTCATGAAAAGTTTGAGTAACCATTAGAGATTGTCTTATACACCCAATGATATAGATTTCAATTCTATTATCATATCATTTTGGGTAAATTTATGAGTCTTTAAAATTTCTTCTAAATTTATAAAAAAAAAGTTATGGTGTATACATTTTCTCAACAGATAAATATAAAAGAAATATTAAGATAACTCTCATTTAAAATAAAAAAAAAAAACTACTAAGATAATTCACTGAACTAATATATAAACAGAAAAAATACATACGTATATATATATACAAATGATTAATTTTGTTAATACATTAATCATACTCCATAACAAACGATCAATTTCATTAATACGTAAATCATTAAGTAAATTAATAATTTTTAATGATATGAAAAATATTTTTCAGTTTATCATTTTGTTAATAAATAAATCATTAAGTCAATTAACAGTTTTTAATGATATGAGAATTATTTTTCAATAAATAATTTTGATAATTTATTATTACATAGGAGAATAGGGTTTTTTTTTTTTTTAAGTATTGTGTTAAATTAAAATTCATAACAAAGGATAGTTGTAATTTAAATGTGAAACTTTATTTTTCTTCTTTTTGGTGGTAATAAGCATGTGCTATGAGTTTATTTATTTATTGTTTTGATGTCAAATATTTAATTTTACAAAAGCTCAAGGTTTAATAGTCAAAAGTTGAGAATATAACACCTGTACAAACAATCACTTTTAAAGAAAGTGGAGAAATGCTATGGTGTAATTTTACAACAAAATGTGCGTTCTGCCATAAAAACGTGTAATTTTATCACTAAAATTTGTAACATCAACTATAAAATGAGTAACTTCGCAACAAATTGGTGTAACAAAATGTGCAAAATTTGGTAATTGATGATGCAAAAATTTGTGACTTAGTTACGACATTTTTTAAAAAGAAAAATTTACCCAAAATCCTTCAATTAGACCATTGTTTGGTGAAAATGACAATCCAATTTATTTTACTTCTTAAACCTCCTAAGGAGGATGCACATAATTGAGTAAGGATAAAGTTAAATATCATTTTTTTTCCTTGGATAATATTGTCAGAGTAATATGTTACTGTGAACCAAAGTAACATATTACTGTGAGACATAGTAACATATTACTGTTTACATCAATTTTGACGGCAATATTTTTTTTTTTTGGTCAACATGAATTTTATTTGATAGATATTAATGAGAGGATTCTAAAAATACTAATTTTATTAAAAATAGATATCTAGATCAAAAGTTATATTATTTTAAAGTTTAATATTTTGGTAACAGTGGTATGTGTTGGACTTTTTAAGGAAATTTTTTTGTGCTTATCCTTAATGTATTAAATTTTTATTTATGAGGAGGTTTCAACCAAATCTCCCTTTTTATTACACCAATTTGTAGAAAGATTATACATAGGGGGCTAGGCTAAGCACGTCTATCAACGATTTATAAGGTAACCTGTCCCAATGCCATCCTCTACTTTTGGACTAACCTATACGCGATTTGGGTGACGTCCCACTTCTCCTAACTCCATCCTACCCTTATGTGGCACAAACCCAGGAATATAAATACAAATAATACAAGTATAAAATAAACAAATTATAACATATATGGTCTCATGATTTACTATTGGGGTGGAGGCCTAACGGCGACCACCCACACACAGATAGGTTCATGTATTTGCTGTTGAATTCTTTGTATTTGTTGTTCATAGAATTTTACCTACTGTGTAGCCCATGGTTGAAGATATGGGTCATGAAAATTTCTTAAATAATTGTTACACATAAAATTCTAAAACATTTAATAAAATGACAAGTGTATTAACAGAGGGCATATGTAACAACTCTCACCTTGTCTCAGTCATGCTTGCATGCATTTGCATGATTTTTGTCTTGCTTAAACTTGCATCTGCAGACCTTGATTTGTTTATCTAAGTGTTGCTTGCGTGCTTTGTTCCTTGCTTAGTGTGTTAAGTTGAGGTCACCTTTGAACCTCTTACGCCTAGGACCATCTTGGAACCACTTTGGTTGACCTCCACCTTCACCCTGGTGTCTTCGCCGAGATGTTATCATCTAGGCCAAGATGCTATCATCTAGGCATCCTAGATCTTTGATCCTTGCACCTAGTGATCTTGTTCCTGGACTGATATAACCTAGACCGAGGTGTGGCACATCTAGGCCGAGGTGTGGTACAGCTGGGCCAAGTGTTATCCTTTCTAGCCGAGATCATCAAGACCTTCTTGCCAAAGTCTATGTCTTGGCCCGAGGTTCTTACCTTGTTAGAGTACCCTTGTCACCTTGCTTGTTGTACACACTTTGTCATACTCTTGTCTTGTCATTCTGTCACCTTTTTGAGGAGATCCAACTAGACGTTGCCACGTGTCCCAACAGAGAGTTAAGTCTGCCGACAGTAGAGAAAACATATCTTTTGTTATATCTTTGTTCTAGGAAGAGAGAGAAGCTCTAGGAAGAGAGAAAGAAGAGTTCTTAGAGTGAGAATAGATTTCCAAGCTTGATCTTCGCACCTTGAACCGTTAGATCCGTGTTTTGATGTTAGATTCCTGATCTACTCTTGTTATTCTTTATGTTGATCCGATCACATTGCATGATCTAGCATGATTCATGAGCCATGCATTGATTTAAAGCTTGTTTTAGAAAGAGAAAATGATGTTCTTGTGTTCTTGAAATAAAACCATGTTTTGATCTGAAAGTTTGTAATAAGTTTCATCTTTTTGTGTTTATTTTCATAAGATCTTCAAGCATGGGTACCCAGGTCCATGTTTTCGAACTCATCTCATGAAATCTCAAATTTTGAATAAAGAAGTTATGATTTTAGCATTCATATTCTTCATGTTCACGTTCTTTATGTTCTTCAAAAAGAAACCCAGAATTTCCAGACTCCATTTCCCTAAATGTGGTCATCGGGACCACACCTCGGCCAAGAGGTGTGGGATCTCGGCTAAGACCTGGTTGGTACCCAGCATGTTTTCCCAAGATGAGAAACAGTGTTTTAACTCCTAGCACGTGTTTTGCTTTGTCTTGACTTAGTTTTGAAAGAAATACCGAGATCATTTACACTCATGAAAAGCTTGTTTTAAGAATGCATTTCATACCCATCTTTGAGCATCTCTTCTTGTCTTCTTGAAGTGCATTCAGTGGACTTTGCCATGTATTTGTAGGTCTTGGATTCTTGCCTTAATCCCTACACCCGAAGAGCCATGTGAGTGGTATTTTTAATAAAGGTATGTTATAAAGTTTTGATAAAGCTTTGCTTTGTTTTGGAAACGTATTTGACCAAACATGAATGATTATCCCTAGTTTTGTATCAAGTATTATCTTGTTTTGATGACATTCTTGGAAAGTTCTTAGTGCTAGGGGACTATAATGCAACTAGCGCGTTTGTTTGAGATATCTCCTTTGTCTTGCCACCGACGGTTTACCGCATGGGTTTGTCCGGAATGCCATTCCTTGTATTATATTGATGTCAGTAAGCATCCCTTGAAGTTTGAAAGATTTGACAGATGAACTTGGTTCATCCCTTGATTTTGCACAAGATATGCTATGTATTGTTTTGATAAAGATCTCGGATATCATTCATTTAAACCTTTATTACTAATATCATTCACTGAATATCCAAGCTCACCCTCTCCATATATATATGTAGGTGACGAGCAAGAATGCGGTGACGCCTAGATGATTATTTGCAAGATGTTTTGGTTTATGTTTTTGGCTAGCATCCTGAAGATTACGCTTCTTAGCTTTGTATTTCATGTCTTTTGTATATGTCGGCGTGAGAAGCCTTTTGATTAAGATGTAATATTTAGTTTTAATTCATTTGTATTCAAGTTGTAAAATCGTGTTATGTATGCCATTTCATTTGATCTATGCACAGCTCTTGGGGACTATATATATATTTAAATTTATTGCTTCCGCACGTGTAAGCCCCATATGTATACTCTGATTGTGTGTGAATCTTTGTAAGTTGGCCTTTGGTAATCTCGGATTACTGGCCATCATGGCACCATTCTACTAGGGGCGGGATGGGGTCGTGACAGCATACATCAAAGTAATGAATACTTACAATCACAATCTTCAAAGCAGCTAAATTCTTCAACTCTTAATTTATATA